ATTATTATTTTTAGTTATAATTAACTGGCTACCTAGTATTAATAAATATTAAATATGAATATTATAATATATAATATTATATTAATAAATTTTTGTCATTTAATTTAACTTAAGCATATTTAAACACGACCAAGATTAAAAACTTTTTATATTATTAATTATTATAAAATGGTAAAAACCTTAATTTTGAGGGTAGAGACGAGTTTTATGAAAATTATAAATAATAATACAGTAATGAGTAAAGATAGACACTACTGGATAGATGACACACGACTGTATCTTTTCATTCCTCGACCTTTAACCACCAAAAGTTAATAGTATCAATCCTTTTAATACACAAACCTACCTGCAAAATTTCAGACATTTTCGACAAAAGGCACAGAAGTTATTAAGTTTCAAATCTAACGCGACTAATTGTTGCTACATGCCGAAATCCGTTGGCTGTCACGCGGAAAAGTTCTTACACGCTTGTATGAACTGCAACTGGAGGTGTTCAAATTCCTGAACAAACACAGGAAGACTGAGTCGGGCAAATTCTTTGTCTGATGTAAGTTGGATTGTAAAACTCGCTTATCTTGCTGATCTTGCGTATCTTTCAACATCTCAATGACTTGAATGTAAGCTTAAAAAGTGCAAACAAAACTATTTTTGACACATTCAACAAGACTGAAGCTTTCAAAAAGAAGTTGCAAATGTGGAGTCGCCAAGTTGATAGTAACTGCTTCGAATTTTATCCTGGCTTTGTGAAAGCAATTGTGAGATTCGAAATTGGTGAAATATTTTGTTTAAATATTGTTTGTCGAGAGAAAAAGTTAGAGAAACAAAACGAAAAACGAAAGTGTTAATCACAAAACTAGTTTCCACGGACTTATTTCCTTGTTGAAGATGACACATTGAATGTCTCACCCGGAACCAACGAGTGAAAAATTGACTATTGGCCCCAATGTACTACAATTCCTAACGAAGTCAAGGGAAAAACCCAGGAGGAACCCTCTAATAAAAGAGAAGGAGGTGATGATAATCAGGAGCAGTCGTCAGCAACTCAAACTCTAACGGTGTGTGTGTTCCGAACTGCCGATTTCAGTCGTCGCCTCACTGTAAAGATAAAACAAAAGGATTTCCCTCCGAACCATCTCTGAGGTTCCCATCGAACTGAGAGTCGATAGGTCTAGGACCAACAAGCATTTAAGGTGTTTATCGTCTCGCGAACGAATGTGAGCTCTCTCTCTCGGCCAGGGTCGTGATCGTAATAATAAGGTTTTTATATATATATATATATATATATATGTCATATTATTAGCATCCGCTAAGCATCAGTATATAGCTTGTAACTACTCTAGATAAATAAACGGGTATTGTTAATTGTTAACTTCGTAGTAGCGTGCACTTCTTCCAGTCGTCTCTCAGGCGTCTCCATCCCGAATCCGGGCATCTACAAACGAGACCGCTTGCCGCAACAAAAGAAATAAGCGGTCATCACGGTCTCTGTGTCTACCCAGAAGACAGTGGTGTCAGTCCTGACGAATTAGCCATTGTAGTCTTCGCCGGCATGATGTTGACCCTTCGGTCCTGTGATGCCGAAGCATAGGGGCGCTCCGGCATTGTCACACAACAATGTCAATACCATTGAATTGGCTCCAGTTATAAGGTCACACCTTCATGAGATGCAATGGAAATTCACAGAGTAGCCTACTTCCCCGAGACGGCGATCCAAGAGTGGGAAATTATTGAATTTTGGATCCTTTCACTACCCACGAAGATGATCAAATCTCGTTGGCTATTCTTGATATTCTTGAATTTGAAAAGGATATTCTTGCTGAATTGTCTTCGGATGCATCATTAAAACTACTCAAGGAGAAGAAAACTGTGCCTAGGTATGGATCAAAGTTAGCAAAGATTATCCAACTTTGAGTGAGAAAGCGATCAAGATTTTGCTCCTGCTTTCGTGAACATATTTACGTGAATCCGGATTTTCACCGCTTACTGCTACCAAAAACAAAGAGAAAAATTTAACTTCTTGTTATACATATTTAAAATATTGAATAATAAACTAAAATTGAAGAAAAAATTTTGCATGAATTATTGTTATACAGTCAAATAATAACGACGACAGATAGATCGGAAATAAATATCAGGTCACCAAAGACAATGTATTTATATTTATATTAAGGAATATATTTTATTTATTGATAAATTTAATACTGTATATGTAATTAGTACTAAACTTGCAAGAGTTAGGCATTCCTGTCGCCATGCGAGTAATTGAATTAGGAGTTGGAGTCCACGAGAATTGGTTTGGGGATTATAGGGGTCCACGATACGAGAAACAGTCAGAACAACTGCCTTAGAGTGAAGTTCAATTTCTTCCCTACCTATTTGTTCCTTTTCATTTGAGACTTCCCTTTTGCTCCCATAATTGTCTTTTACCTGGTTGAACCTAGTTGGAAGAAAACTTCAGTTTTTTTTTTCTGGGGTTTGTCACAACTTATAAACATATTAAAGTCCCGTTTCTCGACAATTAGGGATGTTATTCCGAACTTTTATACATACTCAAGAACCAGATCACAAAAAAACTCTTTATTCATTTAGAAGCAATACAACAAAAAATTCCTTGACCGTTTACTCATCGTTGACGAAGTTTCTTGATGATCTTTCTTCCACCATCTACAATATTTTTTCCATCAACAGAAACATTAAAAGACAAACAATTTATAAAACAGTAAAACCTATGAAGAAAACTGAATAAACATACAATTACAACTGCATTAAAAATAAATGTATAAATATATATTTTTATTTTATAGCGTTTAGCTGCGAATTGAGCCAGTATTGTAAAAATCGTCTAACCGATGTAAGTAAAATTATTTAAAACATTTTGAAATTTAAATTATTAAAAACATCGTCAAAAATCACCGAAGAAAAAATAAAAAAGCAAAGGAATTTCACGTGAAACGTAGTTTCAAGTGAAAATCTTTTGCTTATAAAACTTATTTTTAATAATTTATTCTGATATAATCCAATATATAAATTTTTGCGTTCTCTCTGTTACAGCAATGTAGAGCTAATTTACTCGATTTTGTCAATAAGATTTTTAAAACTGTTTCTCCCTTGTGGGCACTAAGAAGGCAATTTTTAGCAAGCCAATTATGGGTTCAGCCAGAACCACAATGGATATGTTGGGGCGGCCGGGTGGTGAGGACGAAACCCAATATATCCAAAAGTTCACACCCGAAAAAGTCCTGGGTTTTTCGATTCGTAGGATTCGATCCCGGATCTCCCAAGCGGTAGTGTGTCACTTTAACCCTCTTGGTCAACATTTGAGTTTGGATGTGCAATATCAGAGAAAATTGGTATATTTAACTGTGGTGGAAAGTATCGTATACTAAAGATAACAAGTTTGAATTTTATCAATGCTGCATACAAGATATAATTTTATAATAATTTTTGAGTTTCGATTCACTTACTTTCATGAAAATTTATTATTTTAGTTAATTTAAGCTTGGACAAACCTTCGAAAATAATTAACTATTATATTTTGCAGTGTAAGATTTATCAAACAATAAGGAGCAAAACAGAGTATTTTTCTTAAGTTTTTTGTAGAAGTTACCGATTCTGCCAAAAATAAAAAAAATAATTAACGTTAATTCTTTTGCCTCTATTTCCTTACTGTATTCAATTTTTAATTATATTGTCTACGTTGGACTTAGTATATTAACAGGACTTATTATACTGGTGTTGTTTCAGTTTTTGCAAATAGAGGCAATCTTTATTTTTCACATGTACAGTACACACTGTTTTTATGTTTCGGACCTTAAGGCACCTCTTCAGCAGATTTACAATAACAATATTTTATAACAAAATTTATAGAAAAAATCACACTACAGTAGATGAATCGGAAACATTCTAGAACATTTGTCTGGCTGTTATAAAAGGGACACTCATTTGTTGGGAGTTGAGAGGTAAGGGACGCTTAATTTTTCTTCATCCTGATTGTACAGTTTAGATCTTCCTTTCAGATCATCCGAAAGTAAAAATCCTACTTACTCCATTAGTGTAATGTAATTACAGTAGAGCGTCGTTTATCCGAATCAATTGGGGGACTGGGGTTGTTCGGATAACTTATTTTTCGGATAACCGATTATGTACGAAAAAATATCCCATGTTGAAATTTTTCTCTGTTGCATGTCACTTCATGTTGAATTTTCGTCAATGTTAAGCCTAATGTAAACTTTTTAAAATATAATTGTGGCTATTGTATCGTTAAAAATTATTTCTTTATTTTTTACAAACAAAATAAATATATTGAAAAATATAAAAACAAAAAAAAAAATTATACTTTAGAAGTTAATCTAGTATCAAAAACGTTCGATTCAGCATGACACACAGTCCTCAGAAAAACACCACACAAAAGTGCCAGTGCTGCCAGCTAAAACACACATCAAAAAAAAAAAATATTGGAGTAGCCCAAGATATAGCCAAAGATTGCAGCGCCACAGCACTAGCGAAAATTTAAATTTGCCGACTGGAATTCTTTCGGATAACCGACTTTCGGATAAACGACGCTCTACTGTAAATGGAATTCCAATTAACAATTGAGATTTGTAATAAAGAATCGTGAATCGATTTCTAATCTTAAACGTGAAACTGATTTTATCCAGAATTCACTCTCAAATCTTATAAAAATTTGAATAAAAAATAAAAAAATTTGACTATGAAAATCGCACATCATATTATCCATAATTATAATATTTCATATTTAATTATTCATGTTATTTACATGCAATTATTTTAAATTTTATTTCAGAAGTAGAGATTTATTAAAATACTATTAAAAACCTAATGTTAACTAAATGCAAAACTTATCATTATTATTTTAAGCTACCTAGGAACGACGTAATTAGGGAGTGTTGCAGTAAAGAGCACATAAATCCGGTATGTATAAAGAAAATTGTAGACTCTTCCTTTAGATTTATGGATGTTTGTTTTTACGAAAATTTATCGTAATAAACTATCTAAATTTATATTTGTTTCAATGTTTTGTCTATGCTAACTTCTACTAGTAACGTCACTGTTTTTGTCTAGTAGTACGATTTGCAAGATGGCTGCTCCTGCTAGACTAAATATATTTTTTTATAATGGTCATAAAATTATTACAATTAATAGCTGTGCTCGCGGTTTCGCCCGCGTAGAATTCAGTTTGTGACTATTTCAGCTGCTCTTGTCTAAAATGTTTGCTGTGAAAGTTGTGATTTTCTTTTAGGCATAGTGTTGTTATTATACAGCATTGTAATTGATAATCAATTAAATACAACGAAATAGAAAAGAAGTACGATTCTAAAAACTTACTCTACAACATATAATTTTATGCGAATATTTAAGTTGGTATTATGTGGTAAAATACAATAAATGAAATGAGGATAAATGCCACCCACTGACACCAAACATATAACGCTTACCTAGATGATATCTTTTAATTTATATAAATGTTTTAGCCTTTTAGGAATGCATACGGGACAAAAGATATTCGTTATTTTAAGCGACAACAAATAGGCAAATGTTCAGCACAAGTTTGGACATGTGCACTGTAATATCTCGTGGCGTGGTTACTTATCTCGTATATGGGTGTGTTTGTTAATAGCGGTCGCTACTGCGCACAGTGGGGCCAAATCCCAAAAAGCTGGCCAAAAGTCAAAAGCGTTATCAATTTGGCTGAAAGTCAGTATTCGAGGGTTTTCGGGATCGCTGATTACGAATCCGAAGTCAAAATTTGAAATAAAAACAAAATGACGGATTTAACACGAACCACTTTTATAGAAAAAGTACAAAATAAATCCATATATTGTTTAATACGATAAAACATACAATCAGTTGATTAAAAGTTCATGCATCGTCATCCAAAGAATAATTTGATTCACAATCAGATGATTCAACTTTGAAATCGCTGGAGCTTCCTGTACTTGCTGGTATACGTGGCGCAACTAACAATAAAACTGCTTCTGGAAGCAACGACTTTGAGTTTTTTCGAGGTAATTCGCACAAACTCGAAATAAACGGATCGGATATTAATAATAGGCGTAAAATAATGTCTTCCACTGTTTTCACTCGGGAACTTTTCTTGCAAAATCTTCTCGAAACTTTTTAATGTATTTATTAGTAGACTCTTGAGCGTCTTCAGACATCTGCCCTATCGGCAATACCGATGAATTTATCACTTCTGCACCATGAATCAATATCTTATGTGCCGAAGTTGGCATGCAGAACCACGGATATAACTGCACAAAGTAACGAGCTGTCTGTAAGGCATAATCTTGAAATTCTATGAAATCGATTTCATGGCCACACGAAATTGTCTGCAATATGACATGGAAACGCTTAATCAAGTCCTCATCAACCCCTGTAATAGCAGCAGAAATGCTTGAGTTTTCGAAAAATTGTCGAGCGGTATTCTCATCATTCGAGCTACCGAAACCAGGCTTTGGTTGATCGACTATTAGACCCAATTCTATACGGAAACCCTTCTGTATATTCGTTTTTCAGAATCTTATTTCTTTATTTTCTTTATCACTATGCGCTTGCCACAGTTTGATTTCAAGCTTATATGCTACATGCAAACAATATTCAAAACACCAGACAAATTCAAGAAAAAGAGCAAAACATTCCGCGTCATTAATGTACAAAATTCAGAAAACTATGTTTTACATTGCAAGAACTCGCACCAATGACACAGTTGCAGCTAGTTGCAGCTAGTTTTAATTTTTTTCATTCAATAATAGTTCGATCTACAACATGCGATCGGTCCAGTCGCAGAACTCTACAGAATTTATGAACTTTTCTCTACATGTTTAAAATTTTCTGTTGTAATCTTCCGTTCATTTTCGTACAAATCATTCGTTTACTGTTATCACATAAAGTATTATTATCAATTTTGTGTTACATAATGATATTCTACTTACTTGCAGCTGCAAATTCCATTTTTTAAATTTAAATTCGATTGATTTTTAGAGATTTGGCACCCTCTTGAATATAGCGTAGAAATCTTTGCTTACTGCATGACGCGTCTAGCTCGATTGAGGGTCCACTTTTAACTAAACTACAATAGCAAGTATAAGGGATAGGGGGCACTAAAGTCTAGAATTCGACCTTCGGACACTTATCCAACCGAACCCACGACTAGAAATTACCGGAACTTAAACCCTATTTTTCGACTTTTGGCCAGCTTTTTGGGATTTGGTCCCACTGTGCTGCGTCTCCGCACTATCAATAGTATCGTGATGGAGGAATCTATAATTTTAAAATATGAGCTTTTAAAGACAAAAGAAGGGTTCCAATTGTAAAATTTAACCATAAAATGGATTATTTGTTGAAAGAGCATTCAAAATAGCCACGAAAAAAATTAGAATGCCGGCTATCATTCGAAAAAAAGTCGAAAAGACACTTACATCACCGCGTGCACTAACTTGTGCTTTCACAACTTCTAAATTTTCATTCATAAAATCACATAATGGACCCCGAAACTAATCTATCTGAGCCATGGGTGACGCCATATTGCTTTCCACCATAAACTATTGCTACAAGAAGCCGTTTTTGCCGTTGGACAACGCGCACTCCGACCGGAATTTAGGAACGCGTTCCGCAGGAATTTTAAAACAGATGTCGCTCCCGCGGAGTTACGCGGAGGAATAAAAGAACGCACCCTATGTATGCGTCTTTTCCCTCGCCACCCGCTGATACCAAAAATATAACGCTTACCTAGATGATATCTTTTAATTTATATGAATGTTTAACGGAATAATATACAGCCTATGTCCACCCTGAAGGTCCATTCTAAATATTGGTGAAAGAATTTTTGAAATCGAATGAGTAGTTTCGGAGATTACTTCCTACATCCAAACTTACAAACTTTACCTCTTTATAATATTAGTATAGATATAGATGATGATTACGTCATTCACCATTTTTACACACGATCAGCTTAACTTGCTAACTCAGTAGGCTACATTGTTCAAGAATACTGAGAACACTTCTTAGCTCAGCCCTCCTAGCCAATTAGATTTCTTACTTAGCGTTCTGTGTTACTGAACACTGCTTAGGCCATTTAGATGACAACTAGTCGGGCTTCACACAGGAATATATTCCGTGTATAGGTGTATAGAGTTAGATGTCACTTTACGAACAACGACTAAGTGCTACTCGACTCCTTTTTAACGTAAGCGACGGCGGTCAATGCCGAAGTATGTATATAATAACTTATCATCTTTGTAAATCTTCCTCCGATGGCAATAATTATGATTAATTTTTTTGAAGACAAAGTCCTTCCCAAAAAAAGGAACCGCCATTTATTAACTTTGTGTTCCAGACATTACACTTTTGGCGACTGACCTTCCTTTTAGGCTACTGTCCGCCAAACAGTCCTTTAAAAACACAAACATATATCCAATTAAAAATATAAACATTTTTAAAAAACAGGAACTGGTGATGTACAGACGTCTTCTATTCTCCATCATACCTTCTTGGGGTTGTTTCGGATTTTATCTACAACTAAATAGGCGCTGGTAAAATGTAGATGAGGAAAGTTGCAAAAGTGTAATGTCTGGAACACAAAGTTAATAAATGGAGATTCCTTTTTTGGGGAAGGACTTTGTCTTCAAAAAATTAACTTATCATCTGTTTAGCTGACTATTCTGTTTTAAGTGAACTGTTACATTTATAATCTTACTCATACACATTTTGGCTCACTAATATCTAGCCCACACATTTTGGCTAACTGGGTAACACCACTGAACACTAGTAGTCGTTGGTGAGGTGCGTACCCATGACCAGTTGGTCATGGGTACGCACCTCACCAACGGCTGCCACGTGGCGTTTTCCGGATTTTCTTCATGTCTGTAACATCTAAATAAGGATCAGTTTCCTATAGAAACTTTTCCAGGTGCCCTGTCTTCCTTTCCAGACTGTCCTTCCTTCCCCCTTGAATCCAATTCAATACATTCACACATTTTATCAATAACTATATTAATTATTATTATTATAAAATTCACAATGTTTCAAAATTGTTGTAAATGTAGAAAAACTTTTCATATTCACAAATGCATCACAATTTTCTTCGTGAGAAAGAATAAAAATGAATTTTTTAATGTAAATTTAGATTCTCAGATAAGAATTGTGTTTGCAAATCGGGAAGGAATGACTACAAAAAACGAATTATTCCATATTTCACTTCAATAAGAATCGTTAACTTTGTTCTATTAAAAAGTTTTAATTATAATTTTATTATTGGTTTACATAAGTATCAATATTTTACAAAAATGAAAGTATTGCTATAAATATTATCCGCTAAATGTTACATTATAAATTATTTAAGCAAATAATTAGAATTCTATATTTTTTAGATATAAATAAAAGATTAACAAACAAAATTAATGTAATTCTTTCGATAGAATAATAATTGACAAAGAATGAATTCATTTTAATACTCATTTTATTGACTATTAAAATTAATTCTTTCGTATCGTGATTTAAATGATCATTACAAGTATAATATAATATAGACTAAAATTATATTTTGAACATCTAATATTTATGAATTTATTATGATCATATACAAAATCATTTAAGTACAAAAAGCAGATCCGTGCAAATGGAGACTGCACTGGACAAGTTGTATCGTGCAACCGAAAAAGAATAAAATTATAAAAAATAGAGTAAAAATATGATTTAAATTGTACAACAGTTAATTAAAAATAAATTTATGTACACATATATACATATTTAATGAATATATTTATTATTAATGTCATAATATAAGCAAAGAATTTTCTAGCTCTTGGCAACTAGGCTCTTAGTACTTTTGTACGGTTCTGATGTAATATGGTTAATAAAATTTTAAAAATTATTTTAAACTACATAAATATTTCAATTAAAATTTTAAATGGTTTAACCTTATAAGTTATTAGCGAGGTTGCAGCCGAAGTTTTTATCTCTAAAACATGAACGTGTACCGGCGCTCGACGTTCGATGTTCACGTTTAGAGATGAAAACTTCAGCCGCAACCTCGCTATTATGACAACATTAGACAATAGCGAAACTATTGTAATGTAATAAATTCACCCTAAATGTAATTTAATAATAAAGTTAAAAAATAAAGCAATTAAAAATATTTTAATTAAATGTCTTTTACAAATTTACAATTTAATTAATTTATTATTTTAAAGATAGCAGAATGCTTCAAGAAGGTAATTATATTTAATGAATTGACAACATTTATATTGAATATTTTTTATATTTTAAGAATTTTTCTAGTATTATGTAGTTAATATTAGTACTAAGCTAAAATTAACAATATTTGCAGGATTATAATCATTCACTTTTATAACCACTTAAAAAGATGGGTTTTGGAGCCTTAAAATTACTCAAATGACTATTTTATTCACAGATATCGGAGTTTTTATCAATCCCTCTTCAGTTTTACAAATAATAAAATTGTTTTGTAATTTAAAATTTTTTAAACAAAGATGTAAAATATTAAAACAAATAACTTAAGATGTAAAATATTAAAACAAATAACGTACAAAGGTACTGTACAATTTGGATAGAGTTTACAATATATTTTTAGATCTCTCCGACATCATTCATCCCGCATTACGTAACATTTTACTTTTATTCTTATATATGACGTCATTCCATACGTCATCTATTAACATCCCACTATTCGAATTAATTAAGCTATAATTACTTTTAATCGCTATATGTTCTTTAAATTTTTGAAGATATACATCGTGTTCTAGAAATAAAATTTTAATATTATCTTTATCTATACTAATATTATAAAGAGGTAATGTTTGTATGTATGTATGTATGTATGTTAGTTTGTATGCAGCAGGTAATCTCCGAAACTACTCATACAATTTCAAAAATTCTTTCACCAATATTTAGAATGGAACTTCAGGGTGGACATAGGCTATATATNACATCATACTTTTCCTGATAACAACAGAGTCATACTTGTCCTCTAACGTCATTCAGGGGAAAATTTGTGAATTGAAATCATGTGACTTTTGGTCTAGACCAGAAGGTCAAATATAGTTAATCAGGGCCCCTACCCCTAAGCTTTTCATATCTGGTCTTAACTTTCATCTAACACTATTCTTGAGATTAAGAAAAGGCACAGACGACAGTGGGAATTTATAGGTCTATAGTTTTTTTCAAATTGCAGTCCAATTACAAATGATTGTACAGAGATGTGTTTGGAATGATCTAATAATGCATTCATTAGCTTGATGCATGAAATGAATAATTTTATGCATTGTTATTGTCTTTGATAAATTTGTGAATTGGATTGATTGATTCAAGATTTTTCACACTATAAACATAGATAAACATTGTTTCTAACAAAACTCAATAATACTTTTACTAAATTTTTCAACATGTGTGAAGTGTCTTTGAAGCATATTGCAATTAAACTATGTCCTGGGCTAAGAATGGTATTTTCCATCACAACAATGTCTGTTCTTCTCAAATTTCTCTTGCTTTTAATTAAATTCAATCTTAATCAATCCCAATCAATTGAAAAATTAATGTGAATTAATGCTTTTGTATAAACTGCTTTTTATATACATAAAATAAACTTTAATACTATTACAAAGAATTCATTGTTGGCAACCTTATATTTTTTTACTTTTACTGTTTACTGTTTTTACTTATGTTTATCCATTTATCAGAGGACTACTGAAATCTATTCTTTATGATTTCTTTAAAAGTGTTGAATGCTAGCTTTCTCACTTCTGCTAAATAAAATTGATGATAATATTTTTTTAAATTTAGAAAACAAAAATCTAAGGATCAGAAAGGATAAAAGTCGAGAAATGAAGTTCAGGAATAATAAGAATATATTTTCATAGATACTCATTTACCAAGAACAAGTTCATTTTTCCTCTTGGGCTGCAATTTGAAAAAATTGTAGACCTATAAATTTTTACTGTTGTCTGTATGTCTGTTCTTCTTTAATCTCAAGAATGGTGTTAGATAGATGAAAGTCAAGACCAGATATGGAAAGCTTGAGTGCAGGAGGCCCCAATTAATTATATACGAACTTCCAATGTAGACCAGAAGTCACATGATTTTAATTCAAAAATTTTTCCCAGAACAGAATTACATAGATGACTGGCATGACTTGGTTTGTATCAGATAAAGTATGATGTATGAGGAAGGACACTACTAATTTGGAATGGAGTGCATATATTTTAAATTAAATAAATTTAAAAAATATGATTAAAAATTGCAGCCTAGCATTGTGATGATTTCACAGTATTTTTTGCTCATTCCCTTTTTATTTAAAAAATGAAGAATTTGAGTGAGAATTATCTAACATTAAAAATATTCACTTATATTCAATTAGTATCCTATTTGAACACCTCAGTAGTATCCTATTATCTATAATAGTGTTTTTCAACCACCAGTCCATGAAAAAAATTTCATCATTCTGCAGAAAAATATTTGATCATACTTACATTTAACATTTAAATATGTAACATTGAGTATGGGTAACATTTAAACAGTAATATATAGTTATTGTACATACTTTCTTATGTACTGTAACTCTACTTAAGCATTTATAAGTGTAATAAATAAGCTTAATTTAAAGTTGCTATAATTACTGGTACCATTTTGCAATGAGAAAAAGATTGCAAAACCTTGATCTATAGTAAAGAAAGTTTATTATTATTATTATAAGTTGAAATGTAATAAAATTAACAATATACTATCAACTTTTAAATACAGTAATAAAAATTTATTTAAGAAACACAATAAGCAAATAATCAATAAATTGAGAAATTATTAATTTGCTAAGATAATCAATACAAAAATATTTATGCAATAACTTTTTTAAATGTATTTTAAATAAGATGGTGAAGTTAAATAAGATTTAACTTCACCATCTTATGAGTCTCTCAATGTCTTTTCTCACACCTCAGGAAAATAACATTTTTATGATGAAGTTAAATAAGATTAACTTCACCATAAAAATGTTATTTTCCTGAGGTGTGAGAAAAGACATTGAAAGACTCATTATTGTATAGTCTTAAACTGTATATTAATTTTACAATTATAATCCTGGCAGTTATATCAAATGTAAAATATACTTTATATTTGATTATTTTAAGGTTAATGATCTTTTATAAGTTTCAAACATCTTATTTAAAATACATTTAAAAAAGTTATTGCATAAATATTTTTGTATTGATTATCTTAGCAAATTAATAATTTCTCAATTTATTGATTATTTGCTTATTGTGTTTCTTAAATAAATTTTTGTTCGTAATTAATATTATTCAATTTTAATTGTTTTTTTCTTTCTTTTCTTATTTGTTTCATTTTTAAACCTTTGTGTCTTAATTTCCTTAATTTCTTTACTTATAATTAAATGAAATGACAACTTATACATATTATAAATTTTTACTTTTTCTTTATCTTAATTTTAACTTTTTATAATATATAATAACAACTTTTATTTAAATTTTTTACAGAAAGCATTAGCAGATGTTTTCCAAATGGNTTAATAGGATACGTCAACAGAATGTACACTAAGAAGGGATTTTTTGATATTCTCCCCGCGGGGGAGAGAGACAGGATTAAGGCTTACTCTGAAAAACTTGGCTTCTATTATACTATTTTAGATGCGGGTTTTGCGTTTTTGATTGCGTTTTAATAGGGTACGTCAACAGAATGTACCCTAAGAAAAATTTTTTTTTTAAATTTTCCCTCACTGGGGAAGTGTTATACATTTATAATAGATACATTTTGAGCCACAACAAGGCGTGGCGGGGTCTGCTAGTTAATTATACAATTATTTTTACTACAATGTATAAAACAAGGTAACTGTATATTTTTTAAATCTGATTAATGCCTCATGTTCTTTTATTCCTTTTTCTAATATTCTTCTAATTTGCCAATATAATAAACTTTATCTGCACATGTATGCGACATTCTGTATACTACACCCGATTTTTCCAATTTATTTTATTTAGTAAATATATATTCTCTAAATTTGTTTTTAAATTAGCTGCTAATTCAAAAGAAAACTTTCTAAAATTTTTTTTTTAATTTCTCATCGAAATTGTCCATGTATTCAACCGTTCCAGTTAAATTTTCATCAAGTGGAAATGAATGTAAGAAGAGAATGGGTAATCAGCCATATATATACTGTACAGTACATCTTATATAGTACAAGTTATTTATCTAGATGGATATCTAGATAAATAACTTTGCCATCATAAGACAAGTCCATACAGAATGATTACTTGCAGATACAAACCCTATCTGCAAGTAATCATTCTGTGATGGCTCTACGTTTGTCTTAAGGACAGAAGTAGAAGTGTTTTGTAACAATTTATTAAGTAATTAAAATTTCACTTACTTGAATCATAATTACAGTATTTTTCAAGTGGTAAAGACTCATATAATTAAGCATCTCTTAGTAATCATAGACTTTATTTTTAATAAGATATTCAAATATAACTGGCTATTCCAAACATGTCATTCTCTCGTCATTATTTCACGATTTTATAGTACTAATTGATGAAAATAAATTAGAAAATACAAATTCGCAGAAAAAACTATGCAAAAATCCGAAAATTTTGCATTAGACCTAATTCTATGATATTCTGTGAATATTTTGGACTACAGTACTTTATAAATTAAACGGCAATACAATAACGTGATAAATAATAACAGCGGAATATTAGTAAAACAACTAAAACGGCGAAGCCATTTTTGGGAGAAGACTGTCTCGGAGAGCGCAAATCTCATACTCGCATCTGTTTGTGGAAACAGTCTCAGCATTTTGTATTTTATTTTGACCCGGTTCTCGGTCCCCTGACTACCTACAAGTCTGGTTTATTTTATGTGCGCATGATTTGGGCAGCAAATACTCAGTGTCAAATTGCAACTCCTGACATGTACAGTACAGTACAATACACCTTCATTCCTGTAGTGTGCGGCCGATGACAGCAACGCGATTTTAAAGACAAGACATAGTCTCGTCAATTATAAAAGCCAATTTTGCCAAATATTTTCTAGAAACAATGATGATAATAATAATAATAATAGAATTCAGGTTATCTTAATTTTACTTTAAATTTTTATCAGTTTTAAAAGATATTCCCACAATGAATGTAGTACACTTTTTTCTTTGTTAGAAAAAAAAATTAAACTTGTGTAAAAACGATTGAAAATACTCTCTTTATATTTTAAAACATTAAAACCCTTGCGATTATTAACAAAGTAGGTGTTATTAACGAATTTCTATTAGTCATTTTAAAATAAATTATATTCTCAATTTTAGAGTTTTGCAATTCTGTAGTTCTTGTCGTATCTTAATGGCGGCGCGACGGTGGCGCCACAGTACGGGAAAATACACGAACATTCTGTGAAAACTTGTGGATATTAAAAATAATAACAATTTTGAGAAATTAAAAAAAAAAATAGGAGCTAATTAAAAAAAATTTAGAAAATATATATTTACTAAACAAAATAAAAAATAATAATAATAATAAATTTTTTTACTATTGAACACAAGACTGTGTTATTATTAAAACACTTGGCGTTTATCCACTTTATTAACTGAATAAAGTGGATAAACGCCAAGTGTTTTAATAATAACACAGTCTTGTGTTCAATAGTAAATAAATACGAAAACACGGTTTCAAAAACGAATCAATAATAAATTGGAAAAATCGGGTGTAGTATACGAAATGTCGTGTACATGTGCAGATAAAGTTCATTATATTGGAGAAACTGAAAGAATATTAGGAAAAACGATAAAAGAACATGAGGCATGAATCAGGTTAAAAAAATATCCAATCACCATTGTAGTAAAAGTAATTGTATAATTAATAAAGATAATATTAAAATTTTATTTCTAGCACACGATGTATATCTACGAAAATCTAAAGAACATATTGCGATTAAAAGTAATTATAACTTAATTAATTCGAATAGTGGGATGTTAATAGATGACGTATGGAATGACGTCATATATAAGAATAAAAATAAAATGTTACGTAATGCGGGATGAGTGATGTCGGATAGATCTAAAAATATATTGTAAACTCTATCGTAGATTAAAACAAATAACTTACAAAGGTACCTTTGTAAGTTATTTGTTTTAATATTTTACATCTTTGTTAAAAAAATTTTAAATTACAAAACAATTTTATTATTTGTAGAACTGAAGAGGGATTGGTAAAAACTACGATCGAAATGTATTTAAATAAAATATCTGGGAATAAAATCGTCATCTGAGTAATTCTTGAGCTTGGGTTAACGTTGGATTCGAAGGACATAGCATTTCGTTTTAACGCTCCAAAACCCCCTCTTAAGTAGTTAAAAGGAAAAAAAAACAAACAATAAATATACATCTTAAATTAATATTAAAATATTTAATTTATCNTTATAATAATAATAATAATAATAATTTTGAGAACTGTTGATTCTACTTTGTATATGATAACTTTATTAATCTTGAATTATTTTATATTTGAAAAATTTCAGAATGACAGATTCCAAATAATATATTGACTGGAGATAAGTTTTACCAGTCATTCTTTCCACTCTTTACCAGCACTGTTGCCAATTGAGAATCATGTAATTTAAGCTTCCAAGTTTGCAATTGTAGATTAATATTTACTTATGAATTGGTAAATTACATAATCACTGGATTACAAAATCCTCTGTTTGAAATGACAGGCTATGAAGCTCTTTGAATTTGAATACATCACTACATATCAGTATGAATTCTTATATACTAATTAAGCATATGGTTTCAAGTTAGACTCTATCACATTAATCTAACAATAAAAATAGGAGGAACTGCATACAAGTTTTGAGAATCATGAAACTAGTTAGGAAACATGAAAATACATTATAAATATAATTAAATTTAATTAAAATTTAAAAATATAAAAAAATGTAATTACAAATTGAAATAAGAACCACATATGAATACAGTGACTGACTATATTATTTATTCTATTATGACAATATTATGATTTTGTTACAAAAATTTAAAAATTAAGAGGAAAAAGAAAAGAGTGTTTTAAATAAATGAAATTTCAACAAAAAAGAAAACATTATAAAGATGTTTTAACTATTGGTGGCAACATAGCTGTTTCCATATATGTAATTACATAATTAGATTTTAAACATTTGTAACATTATATTCAATTTTTCTGTTAATTTTTGTCTGCGTATTAATGCAAATAAATCAGTACATATGTTAACCCATAACAAAAGAAAAAATGGTAGTAGTGGTAAATTAAATCATGATTCAGATTTAAAAGTAGGAACGTAATAATACAACATAAAACAAGTAAGTTTTTTGCATTGCAAAGACTTACTTGTTTTATGGTAGAAAAAGAATTCATTTTTGATCAAATTTGCATTGAAAGGTATGTTAAATATTGCTCAACTTTTCTGTTTCTGTATACTTTATAAGGCATAAACCAATTATAAAAATATATTTTTAAACATTATAATGATATCATCTGAACAAAAACTAGTTAAAAAGTGACACTGTGTAGCATGGAATATTTGGATTAAGTTTATATCAATAGAAGTTATTGAAAAATATTACAGGTCCAAAGAGTATATTTTATTTTTAAAGTTTCCATGATACAACACAGCATTTAGAATATTAACTGAAATTAACCAATGTAAATGTCAAATCATTAGCTGATTCCATATTACTTAATTTCAGTCATTGGTATGGTCTTATCAGACAGCACAGGTAAATACAATGGAAACTTCTGTTGTAATTAAATTTTTTGCAAAGAAAACTTAATGTGCTCCCACTCTAAAAATTAAGTTTAAAAATGTCACATGGTGAATATCAACTTCGTTTTGACTGACAGTTTAAATATTACTCTTAAGTTTAATTTGAGAGGTAAATAAACTGTGAGAGCATTTTGAATATGAACATTTTATAATAAATATCTAATTTTATTAAAAATGCTTTGGACATGCTGCTGCTCTATTTGATCATTATTTAGTATTTAATATCCTGTAGTGTTATTAATTTATGTTTCTCATTATTTATTTTTAACCTATGTAAACATTGAGAAAATAAAAAATTACTAATGAATTTGTTTAACATAAATGGGAATGTGGGGTATTTGTGATCTTTTAGGTACCTGGAATCTTGGATCCATTACAGGTGTACTGCCATCAACTTTGCATTTTCTTGGGCTAATCTATCCAGGTTCTGTTTGAAGAGTGCATTTTCAATATGCACCAGCTCTGCCAATTTAGAGTAAATGGTTTTAGCCCTATTTATGCACATCTGCTGCACTTTACAAAGCAGTGGTTTGCTTCCAGGTGGAAGGCAGATGTGAAAAAAATGACATGGTTAGAACTCCTTTTCTCTTACATTCTGTCAAAAATTTGTATTTGGCTCTAGTCTTAGTTAGGCTTATGAGTGTTCTATAATAATGGTTAGCCAGCATTGCTAATTATCATAACTTTACCTTATCCAACACAGAATATAATCAATTACATACCTTAAAGCCTGTTACCAGTGTGCAATTAACCTCAAAAAGCAAAAAATTAAAATTTCACAAGCATTTTCAAACCTTCAATGGTTCTTCTTCAGGCAGCGACAAATTTCTGTTAGAATGCCATTAAATACAAATATTTTACCTATATTAGTCACAAACACCCCACATTTCTGTTTTATTGTATGGGATGACTTACAAGTACCTGACTACATAGCTGATGTTTTAAATTATGGATCTGAAATTACTGTATTCAAATATCTTGTAATAGTTAATAGTGATTGTTCTCATTGTTAATGAATTATATTTTGTATTTTTTTTTAATTTAAGTTTTGTTAATATACACTACTAATATTGTGAGCATCTGTTCGTGTTTACAAAAACAAAACTCTTGTGTTTCGGTTGCCGGGTAACAAAGTTTAAAAATTATGTATCGGAAATTACTGTATTCAAATATCTTGTAATAGTTAATAGTGATTGTTCTCATTGTTAATGAATTATATATTGTATTTTTTTTTAATTTAAAAGAATGAATGTTTTTCAGAAAATACAGAATTATCAACAATTGAAAAGGTGCAAATCGTCATTATTTACTTGCATTGACGTAAGAACACATTTGTTGTAATTAATTACATTAGAAAAATATACTTCACAATAAGAAAAAAAGACGCCAAATAAAAGTCACAACTTAAAAATTTTTAAATTTGAGATTTTAAGGATTTTTAAAATTTATTTCGCGTCTTTTCAATGTGATATTGATCATTTTGATTATTTTGATTAAAAAAAAATTCATATCAAGCTAAGCTAAATTTTTCAAGATGTAATTATTTTATTTTGAATTGATTTTTTTATTTTTTATTTTACTCGTCTATTTCTTTATAAAATGCAATAAATGCAAAATATAATTAACCAGACTCTTTTCAAGATAATCCATATAAACAACAGAATATAACAGACCTCGGATACATTTATAATAGTCGTATCTACATACTATAAAACTTGATCAACATCAACATAATAAATTACGAGACTGTATTCTTCATTCCATAAATAGAATATGTCTATTAATATTAAATTATTATAGAAAGATTGTTTAAATCAGTGTTTTCCAACGTGGGGTCCACGCCCCACAGGGGGCAATTGGATTGTTAAGAGGGCAATTCGAAAATGGACTCGTCCAGAGTTTAAGTTAACCGTATAGCCCTGTATATGTTAGAGGGGCATAAGAATTTTAGAAAGGCTTAGGTGGGGCGTAGCACAAAAAAGGTTAGAAAACACTGGTTTAAATATACTGAAAAGAATAAAAAAGTAAACAACATTTCGATCAAATTTGTACAATATTTATAAATTTTGGTCAATTTATTGTCTTGGAAAATCTTTTCTTATCTGTATTAAAAATTACAATCTTTTCTGATCCTGATTATATTTAGGAATTTTACTTTTAGTTGACAATAAGATGGTCGAAGTGGTTAAGGCGCTTGCCTATCGCTCTGTGGGTCCCTGAATCGAATTAAGCAGACCTTCCGCAGGAATTTCTCGTGAGCGATCTGTGTCCGGGATATATTGGGCCTCGTTCCTCGCCATTCAGCGTTAACCTTCATTATGGGTTTGGCCGAACCCAAAATGGGCTTACTAAAAAAGGCTCTTTTACATGGAGTACTATATATATGTCCCCACCGATTCTGATGAATTTGGGCACAAAGGTAGTATTTCAAATGTTAATGCAATCCTCCGAACAGTTTCATTCTTTGGGCCATAAAGAACGAGTTATGACTAATTGAATGTAGAACTACTCATTCGTAATACAATAGTTCGGTCAAGCGGGCGCTGATGTGCTTGAGAAGAGAGGATCAGCAAGAGAAGATCGATTGCATGTTTGTTATCTATGCCTTGATATTGTATCACTCATTAAAATACTAACACAATTGTTATTTAGAGAGAGAGCAGTTTAAAATCAACAGAGGTTAAATTTTTAATCATTACGAATAGTTTTCACAATAGTTATATTAATAATTATATCAATAAACTTAAAGACACTTTTCATTTCTCAAATTTCATTAAAATATTGATGGCTAACCTGTAAATCAAAGTCATTTCATGCGCTGTGCTTATTTTATTTATTATCTCAATCAGTGGTATCTAGTATATTCTGAACAGTATATATCGTCCTGGCCTATATCCCAGATTATTTGGAGTCAGCCCGGAATGTCAATTTACGCCACGTTGGTCTATCTCTAATTGTTTCTTCATCCACTCCACAGTCCAGCATATCTGTTTTTACACATTCAATCCATCTCTTCTTAGGTCTTCCTCTACCNCCCAAGTTAACTTTAAATTAATGAAAGATTTGTTCATTTAAAGTTTTTACTATGTCTTTTATCAGACATTTAACTCAGAAAAGTCTTAAACCTAGGTAAAATTTTCAGACACTTACAAAACTTTACTTTTTTAATATGTCTATATAGACAAAGTAGACATAAAATAATTGTGAAATTCAACTGGAACCATCCAAAATTTTGATTATATAAATTTAAACTCAAAATTTTGGAACTGTAGGCTTTTATGTATATCAGATATGGAGTAACTGAATAACTGCAGTTAATTTGTGAATATTCAGTGATCTCCACAGAATTTTTTGCTGGGTGGTCAATAAAAACTGCCAGGCAGATCTCTTTCATATAAAAATAACCTTATTTTGTTTAAAACAAAGCTATTGACAACTTTTACATCTCAATTTGAAATCAGTGGTCCTGTTTTGAAATTGTTGTTGTTATTTTGGCCACTTTCTTGTTTTTAAAAAAAATAAGTTAGTCTGATTTGACTTATTTTTATGTTGCTTATTTAGGAATTTTTATTAATTTTCAATGAAAGAAAAAATTTTCTTTTGTCAATACATTTTTTAAACTTGATAAAAAGATTATAATGTTATTTTTATATATTTTAAAAAACTACTTTTACTTACTTTATTTATGGTTTCATCAGTTAAACAGTATTCAAACAAAGATCAGTACAACTGAGAAATGTTCTAAAAATTGAAAAAAAATTAAAAATTACAGATTGCAATGTCAGGATTCCAGGATTCTTTTTATTGTTTGAGTGTACTTACTGCAGACAGGTGAAAATATTTTTAAGATGTCCACTGAGACATATTAAAATAATTTTAGATGTATATTCACATATTTATCTATTTAAAAGAATGCATATTTGTTTAAATTTTGAATGTGTCCTGGTAAATATACTCAAAAATTTGGGATTGAACTACACTTGAAAAATATGAAAACATTGCATTTTTTGTATCTATATCTAGAAAAGATATATACATACAAAAGATACCTTTTGTACATATCTTTTGTATACATACTTTTTGCGAAATTTGACAACTGGGCAGCCAGAAAAATCATCTGGGTGAGAAAAGGGCTTGGGGAGAAGGTCATTTCATAGCTTTTGAATGTACATTTCTCATTTCTCACGTCTCTTTAGTGAGTGCTCTATTCTATCAAATTTGCTTGTTTTGTTTTCTATGTTATAATGCTTAAGAGTTATTATTCTTTGTCATGACACCATGATAATGACAAGAATGTGTTGAGTTGACCACTAAGTGTAAAATCTCCAGCTGTTGCACAGAGGGATTTACATGGCAGAAAAGGTACTAGACATTTACAAATTCACCATTGGTAAAAGAACATGATTGGCCACTCAAGATCCTACCAAACTGTACAGTTATGCCCTTGATGTAATAACACAATCATTAACCAAAAAACAATTGATATCCAAACAAAAACATCTGCAATGTAAAAAATTAGGCCAAGTAAACAGTTATGATGATTTAGATAACAATCAAATTTTTTTCTTATGAGTTTTTCTTTGGTTAAAATAATCTTGATGCTTCAAAGCTGTACTCACAAGATCTTTATTATTGTTTCCTACATTTGCTTTGAAGCTGATCCTAATGTGGTATAGTCCACATTGCTGATCAAATTGGTCAACACTGCTGTCAATATGTTATTGTCTCTTATTAGTCTGGACTGAGGAACATTGATCTTATTCTGGTGTTCTTGGCTCTACCTTTTATACTTTGACATTTGATAGTGTGTTGTTGCTTTCATTGATGTCTAGTATAATGACATAATTGTTCTTCCATTTAATCAATGTTATTTCTCTCTTGGAATCTCTAAAACATTGAGCTTAGCCCTTTTGTTCCTTCATTTCATCTAGAGGAGCTTTTTTAATCTTGTCTGTCTTCATAGTCCTGATAATAGAAATTTCTGCTTCTATTTACTTTTCGAGTAGATGAAGAAAATTGATAATATTGGATCCATTAGGCTACTGTCCAGTACTTTCAAGGGTTTATAGACTGAAATATCTAAATAAATTATGTAATCGCTTTTACCAATATACAATATGTGGACATTTGATAGACTTGTGCCATTGTTCCTTTATACTGGAAAAACCTATGTTATGAATTTTTAAGGTATTGATTTCAGTATGAATTTTCATACTATAGGTTTTTCTGAGTTAGTTTAAATAATTTATTTTATTTCATAAAATATAATATGAAATATTCTGATATTAAAAGTTTTTATTTGAAGTAAAATAGATTATAAAAAAATGTTTATTTTTAATCATAATTCACTGCTGAATTAGCATGGAATTGTGAAATAAACAACAAAAATAACTGAAAAAAAGAAATGCAAATATTTTTACATTTTATATATAAGTTCTTTTCAGATACAAATAAAATAACCAAATAGAATTCAAATGAACAGATTCTTGAGCAGAACACAATTTTTAAATAAAAAATTGATAAATAAATAAAACAAATACAAATATTAAAGTTTACACTGCTAATTAAATATACATGTGTTGTGAGAAACACTTACACCTTGAGCATTTACTGACTGTAGACTCGTGGAATAGAATTTGAAACTAAGCTTTATTTGCTTAGTTTAAAATATAAGTGCTATCAATAAGAAGTTTATTGATAACTCTTATTTTATAGGGCTGAAAATTGAATTTTTAGTTGTGTGAACTAGTCTTGAGCATTTGCATCTAAATACCAATTTTTTTGTTACCTGTCAAACTTCTCACATTACTTCTTATGAGTTCTCCTTTTGTTTGATCACCTGAAATAAAATACGTTAGATTAATATATTGATTTACTATAAAAATAAGTCATTCATTACAACTAAAATGAAATTCTATTCTTATTCAGTATTATATTATCAAAAATTAAAACAGATTATTTATTTTATCATATTGTATTTATAATTTAATGATTATTTATATAACAAATTAAAAAAAAATATATATATATATATATACATTTTTTATTTCTGATATTGAAATGCTGTCATGAAAACTTATAATTGCAACAACAATCAAAAATAAATTAATAATAATTTTTTTAAACAGTCAAAAGAATGGCCTTTTCAATCATTTTGTGATGAACTCACTCAAGATTTATTTAGTTTGTCATGGGAAATAAGACATGGAGCTGCTACTGCTTTAAGAGAAATAGTTAGGATACATGGAAAAGGTGCTGGTAAAACAACTGATACACCCTCTGATCAGGTAAAATTTTAAGCATATTCATGATTAAAATTTAATTAGATTATTTTTAAGAGACTATCTTAGGTAGAATAAAATATTATAGTATTTTATAGATATAGAACAAATTTTTTTTCATATTTTTTTATTTGAAATTTCTGAATATGGTTTTCAAAATAATTTTTATATTTTTAAATTTAATTTTAGACATATTTAGATAAATGTTTTTTCTATATAATAATATGAATTTATCATATTATATATAAGGAAAAAATTACACTTCAAAATAATAAAATTGTAACAAATGAAAAACAATGAATTGTAAGCTTTCTACCTATAATCTATTAATTAATTAATTAAAGAGTAATAAGTAACTGTACAAGCACATTCACCAGACTGTTACAATTTTGAGATAAAGCACACACACACAATTTCATTTTTTTTCTTTTAAATTAACATTCAGTTCAGCATAATGCATTTTGGCAGTTTTCTCACTCTCTTCAGAAATATTGTAAAGTTCAAAGTAGATTACATAATCAAGGTGAAGAAGATGAGAAAACTGCTGAGATGCATTCTGGAGCACAAAGTGTTAATTAAAAAAGCAGAAAGGTGTGTGATTTATCTGAAACTTGTAACAGCCTGGCAAATGTTCTTATATAGTTACTTATTACTCTTAAATGAAAAACAATTTGAAAATACAATACAAATCAATACATTTAAGAACTTTAAAATATGTAAAAACTTTGTTTAAACCAATAAAATTAATAGGCCTATTCTGCTACTCTGTATTGTGTTTGTGTATTTTTTGAGTTTTCTTTGAAATATGCACACTAGGCTTGTAAACTTCTAGTAAAATTTGTGTTAAATTCTAGTTAAAAGGCTTTTACAAGTGTACTCTTGGGGATCTGGGATAGATTAATCTAACTTACATTATTCCTTAGGGAAAAAATTTATTCAGTACTTCAACAGACTTCTGGAACAAATTAAATTAGAGTACAGAGATGCTACAGTAGTTTTAAGAAAAATTTAAAAAAAACTCTGTTGTGAATAATTTAGTAATTACAATAGACCAACAATTATGAGATTGCTATTATTGTATTGAGAAATATGATGAATACAGTGAGTATTGGTGGCAGAATTCCAAACAGAATTTTAAAAACATTAGTTTAAAAACTCATATGAAATTTGTTTATTTCTATAATGATATTCAAATTGATGAATATATATTAACATTATTTAACTTTGCTTTGTCATTATATAAGTATCTTAAATCTGTTTATTTTATTTTAAATATTTTTGCAGGTAGAATTAGTTAATCAAATATGGTTAGAAGATTTAGCTCTAAGGCTTCTATGTGTATTGGCTTTAGATAAATTTGGAGATTACATATCTGATCAGGTTTGCATTCAATTTTTCTAAATACATAAGTTTTAAGATATGAATTTAAAATAATGGATAAATTTTAATGATTTTTAATTTTTATCTAAATTAGAATGATTAACTTCTGTACAAAATTGATGAATATAAACAATATCAATTAGACATATACAGTGGAACCTTGACTTACGAGTGTCCCAACTTAAGAGTTTTTTGAGATATGAGCCATCTCTCAGCTGATTTTTTGCATTGAATTGAGAGCTAAAATTTGGGTTATGAGTCAGCTTTAAATACCCTACTGCTATGTGGCACAGTGAACCATAGATTTAAAAAAAATGGAAAACTGCTGTAATTTTGTCATTTTTGTTACGTCTGACAGGCTAGCTTATAAAAAAAAACATGTGATCTAGTGACATAGGCATTAGTTCACTTCCATGTTGTGTGGCACCACTGTCTCTCATTTCTGGAATTTTCCATCCTTTTTTATCTATGTAGCGAATGCTGTAACATTCGCAAAACCAAATTATTGCAGTATATACTATTGTGTTTTTATACAATATTTGTTATTATAAGTACATTTTTCTTATTTAAAAACATGTAACAAAAAATTGCAGTGTTTTTGGGCGGTCCAGAATGGATTTTTAGCATTTCAATTCAATTCAATGGGGAAAATTGATTTGGCATATGAATAATTTGAGTTATGAGTTCTGTCATGGAATGAATTAAACTTGTAAGTCAAAGTACCACTGTATATATTATGATGTCTGAGTGTCTGTGCGTGTGTATGTATATATATATATATTATAAATGCTAAGTATTTTTTTTTTTTTACTAAAGATGCTTAAAATATAATTTATATTACAATTTTTTCATCTTTCTGAATAGAACAAGTTAGAATAAGTGAATTTATTACATTACTAAGACACTTATTTATACCTCATTGGTCATATCATATTTAATGCCTGCATATTGAATCATGAGTGAGCAACTGAAATAAATATGTTACATAGAGATTTATTCAATTTAAGTTTATAAAGCTGTTTGATGGTTTTTTTCTTTTTTGGATTGTCTTTAACTTTCTAATAAATGATATAACATTTTCGAGCATTTTTATTTATCTCTGTGAGGATCATTGACAAACTGTAACAGAACTTCATTTCCTTCATTAATGAAATTTCTGATGTCTGTAACAAAAAAAAGCCCTGATCTATTTGTCCATAAAAGCACAAAGATGAGACAACATCAAATTCTTGTGACTCAAGATGTGAAGACAATTGAATGTCACCAGGACCTGGACAACACAGGCTATTGGTATGTCATCTAGCTTTAATCTCCAGGACTGAAATCAAGAAATTGATAAAAGGGTTTGACATGGACTCAGATTGGAGACACTCCAAATCAGAGGTCTCATTAGACACTTCTTGTCATATCATTATATCCTCTAACTTTCTTTCATTGTGCTTACAGAAAGACAATCTGTAAAAAGAAATTGTGGATTATGCACATGTAAATGCAAAGGAACAAACTTTTATTTCCATGTTGGCCAAATGTAAAAAATGTTTGCTGTATGATATTAAAAATTTTGTTATTAATGGTGTAGATGAGTCATCCTTTATCTGCCCTGTGCAACATGCCCTGTTCACTCATACAGGATTAAACCTTATTTGACTGGAAATGCTAAGAAGAAAAAAAGAAACCAAAATTGTCCTCTGTTGTGATGTGAATTCTATTATCCCAAATATCTACTGTTCTATTTTCAAAAACCGTTGTAAAGCTATATAAGTTATTATTGCTTTTACTTATAATTGCAAAAGCATCAAAAAGTTACTGTATTGAATAGTCGACCCCCCTATAAGATAGAGATACGTTCCATTCTTTAGGAATCCGATTTCTTACGAATCCTTCCAATCNTGACATCAGAAAGCAGCTTTAAATAACTTTACTGAAGGAAAATCAGTGCACTACAACTTTAGAACGATTTTGATTAATTTTGATAAAAAACTCCCATTAAAAAATCATTAAAAGGCAATTAAGCCTTAATCGAGCCTTATCAAAGGCTCATTAAAATTGCGATAAAATTTTTTCGCGTGGGCAAAAATTTTGAAAAAATTTGGGGACCTAAAAAAACATTTCAAAAATTCAAAAAAAAAATTTGGGGGGGCCAAACGCCCGCGTTTTTCGTAACGCTAAGTAACTTGCCCGAGGTATCTCGGGTTATGGGCTTAAGGGTTGAAATTTTTCTCCATTGCGTGTCTCTTCGCATTGAATTTTCGTCGATGTTAAGTTTAACTAAAACTTTCTAAAATAATAATCATGACTATTGTATAGTTAAAAATTATTTTTTTATTTTGTACAAACAAAATAAATATATTGAAAAATATAAAAACCAAAAAAATATACTTTAGAAGTTGATCTAGTATCAAAAACATTGATTCAGCACCACACACAGTCCTAGGAAAAACACTACACAAAAGTGCCAGTGCTGCCAGCTAAAACACAAACACCAACAAAAGAAATATTGAGTAGCCCAAGATATAGCCAAAGATTGCAGCGCCACAGCACTAGCAAAAATTTAAATTAGCTGACTGGAATGCTTTCAGATAACCGACTTTCGGATAAACGACGCTCTACTGTATTTTCTTTAACAATTTCTATATTATTTCTTAAACTTGTAACAGTTTTTCTAAAGAAAAATTTGAAAATTCTTAGTTATACTCTTAATTTTTTATCTAATTTCTAGGTAGTTGCACCTGTAAGAGAAACTTGTGCTCAAGCATTAGGAGCTGTTCTAAGCATAATGTGGCATTCTGGAGTTGAAGGTGTTCTTCAAGTTATCCTTGAATTATTAAAACGGCACGAATGGGAAGCTAGACATGGTGGATTATTAGGATTAAAGTATCTTTTAGCAGTTAGACAGGTAATATTGAAAAATTATTTGTTATATATTTATTACTATATATTAAATGTAAGTACTCATTTAATGACTAAATATGGATGTAATAATTAAATATTTATTTGCATTTATTTACTACTTTTTTTATTTTTATAAACATATATAAGAATCATCTTTAATTTTTAAAATAATAAAGTGTTTATATGCAATATTTAAGTAACACATAATTTATATGTTAACCTTTGAGATCATGTCAGAAACAAAAAAAATATTTTCAATTGCTTAAGTTTTACATACTGTATCTTAAGTTATCAGATATCAGTTAAATGCATAGTCATGCATTTATCTGATAACTTAAGATTATGAATATAATTTGCATTATCAGTTATAAAAGACTACTTATAAATATAATACTGTATAATTATTTAT